AGTCTTTATAACTCGAAAAGTATTCAATGAAGAAACATTTGATTATGGTATTTTGGAAAGCTCTCGAGGTCAGCTACAAGAATATGTAATAAAAAATAGGGAATGCCATTTAAAAAAATTGAGGTGACTTTCATGTGACTTTCAAATAATTCTTCAAGGTCAAACCAATGGTACCATCTTATGGTCCCTTCGAAACCAAACAACTTTTGTCTGAAAAATTTTTCTCTCCCGGGCTTGATTTTCGAGATATTCGACTGGATGGATTAAAATGGTCCACCCTGTATACCTATATTTTGAGCATATACATATGTATATTAATTCTTTTTATTTACAATATTTGTAAATTTTCTGAATAAATTCGTTTGCACGAATGTAATTTTCGAAACTTCGAAGCTTCGTAAGAATTCGAAGATTTTAATGCCGAAGCTAATTCGAAGTCCGAATGTCGAAGCCTTCGAAGCAAATCACCAGCCCTATAAAATAATTAATTGTTTGTGTTGCAGGTGATTGTATTGCAGCTGACAAGATGCTACGGCGGCGGCGGTGGCGGTGGCGGTGGCGGGCCGAGCACGTTCGGATACGACGCCTCCTCGGCCTGCAGCAAGCCGTACTCGCGCGCAGGACGCGCGCACCACGAGGATCTACCCTGTGACTTTCGCCGACAGAACTGGTGCACGATCGCCGGTAGCTCTTATCCTTGGTACTTCGTCCATTTGCGTTTCCGTCTTTCTTCCGCTTGCAGCGATCGATCTCTCCACCGAGACTTTCGCCCGCCCGACATTCGTACGCTCACGCGCGCGCGCGCGCTCAATTTATCCGTGGCGAAAGTTTTGGCGAAGTTGTCGGTCGCTCAAGCGAACGAATCAAAGTGGATCAAAAGTTTCTTGACTGAAATCTGAAATTCGAGGGCAATGATTAGGGGGGGTGGAGGTCTGGTTTAGCACTCTGAAAAATTAGATTTTTGAAATTTTTTTTAGGAAACTGTACAACCAATCCTTTTGAACTGTATAGAGTAATTTCTCGTACTATTGAACTAATAAAAAAATATTTTTTTTGCCAGAAAAAAGTATATTTATTATGCAAGTGATAATAACTTTTTATTCGGCGTGTCGGCGGGCGGCGTGCAATGTAGCGTCGCTTGTATTTGTCTGAAACAATCCAAAAAAATTATTGTTTATTAAGAATTTACGCATTAACTGAATCTATTTTTAAAGAAAATAATGCAAAATTATGACAATCGCGCACTTGGAAAAAGAAGGTAGCGATTTTGTCGATTTTGACAAAAATTTTTTTATGTTTATTATGCAATAAAAATTATTTAATTAAATAATATTATTATAAACTGTGGTTCAAGTTGTTAAGGAAGTATTTATGCAGATGTGTGCAAAGGCCCAAGTCAATCGGATGAATAGTTTTTGAATTATCTTGCACACCGCCAAATACCATCACACCACCGAATAAATGTTATTATTACTTGCATAATAAATACTTTTTTCTGGCAAAAAAATATTTTTTTAGTTCAACAGTATAAGAAATTACCCTATAAAGTTCAACAGAATTGGTTGAATAGTTTCCTTAAAAAATTCCAAAAAAGTCACCTAATTTTTTAGCGTGCTAAACCAGAATCCTCCCTTAATCTTGAAAAATCTTTTTCCGTCGTTTCCTTTTTTTTATATTAAACATTTGATTTTGCTTTGATTACTTAGTCGATTTTTTTTATTCCATTTGTCTTCGAAAGAATTATAATAGGTTATAGAAAAATAAAATAAATTCTAATATAAGAAAAATTTAAATTTAAAATCTTTAACAGTAACACGAAATTGTATATTCTCTCTCTTATCGATTTTTTTAAATTCGTATTTAATTCGTATTTATCAAGTATTGAAAACTCTTGATGTTACTGTTGGTGTCGACTTGTTACTTGAAATAAAACGCATTAGTTTCAAGTGTTTCTATGACATACTCTTAAAACTCGAATTTAAAAGAAGGTTCATGTCGTCTTATCCACCTTATCAGCACAGAGTTATGTTTCTGCTGTTCGTTCGCAGGCACGCGGTGCGCCGATTTGTGCAAGAGAATCAAGGGTTGATGAGACGTATGTACGGCGATGAGAATTACATCAGTGTCCTTCGAGCGGAATTCGAAAAGAACGATATCGAATTAAAGTACGATGAGTACCATCATTTCGCCGACGATCTGAGGTAGCTTTCTCATAGTTTTTTTCGACAATAATTTATTATTAATCGCTTTAGAGTTTCAAACATGACTTTAACATATATTATTATTAATTGTTTGTTACACAAATTATTTTTAATATATTTTACTGAATCTTAATATATGGAGATTTTTTCAGATTGATTATATATATAATGAATACAAATTTGAAATTTAAAAGATTGAAATGGTAAATTCAATATATGACAGCCAAATTTAAGAAAATTTAATTCTGGTTTATGTGTTACTAAAATTTTATATGTAAAAGTTTTCTAAGCTTTTGATTTCAAGTCTGCAGTGCAAAATTAAAAAATTCAAAATAGAGGATTTAATATCAAAAGAATTTTTAACAAAAAAGTCTCGCTCTTAGCCCAAATTAAATTAATGTAGCGAATTTATAGTTCCAATACAATTTTTATACAAGGTGAAGAATTTTTAACAAAAAAGTCTCGCTCTTAGCCCAAATTAAATTAATGTAGCGAATTTATAGTTCCAATACAATTTTTATACAAGGTGTCTACAAAGCCTGTCCTCACTTCTTATATATATATATATATATATATATATATATATATATATATTCAGAAACGGTTCAAAATTATGAAAAACTGTAAAATACGTGTTCGATCATTTCGAAGGGCTGCTTTTTAAAAGGATTAACTCTTCGAAATAATCGAACACATTTCATGATTTTTCATAATTTTAAACAGTTTCCGAAGAAGAGGGGACAGATTTTGTAGAAACCCTGTATATATACGAACAAATATAAGATTTCAGTCACACATAATTTTTAAAAACTTCTTAATTACTTTGGCTGGACTCATATTGGATCTATTTTAAATTTTTTAATTTGAGGTGCGAATTTATAATCAGTGATCTCAAAAACATTAATATGTATAAGGAGTTTCAGAGCATGTCTATTAATTATTTCTTAAAGGATTAATTAACTTTTCTGGAATGTAATTCATGGAGTAAATTACATGAATATAGTATAAAATAAATAGACAGCTATTGATCTTCGCTTCTGCATATTAATCTCGCCAAATATTATATTTTTAGGGGAGGTTTTTTGCTATATAAAAATATATATTTGCTAAGCAATCCGTAATATGCATTTGCCTATCGTTCTCTTATAAACCGAAGCAAATATATGAATACATATATATATAAATACATACAAATTACATTCATAATTTTTAGACAATTCCAATATGACGACGATTACGAATTCATCGATGGCGCGAAGATTCACGAAGGCGAGTACGAGGGACGTGGATTTACTAGTCGCTCTTTCAACGATCCCATCGCCAAGCGAATGAATAAGTTCTCGAAGCTCAGCGAGTACACCAGGCCGCATTTCAGGCCCACCGAACGGACCACCAGTTCGACCACCCCGAGCACGACGACTACCTCTACAACCTCGTCGTCTTCGACGTCGACTAGTGCCACGACTCTCGTTACGTCTTCAACGCCCGCGTCGTCAACCGCCTCCACTGTTACGAGCACGGAAGAGGTCAAGACTCAAACCTCCGTAACGTCAACCACTCCAAAGTTTTCGAACACCACTGTCAAGGTTGCTGACAGCAGCGATGGCATTCCTGCAGTGAATGGCACGACGACGGCATCGCCGAGCATCACTGTGGCGCAGATCGTCAAGGAACAAAATTTCAGCATCAACGAGATTCCCGGGCAAAACGACAGAATCGATGAGGACGTGGAGGAGGAACCAGAAGTGGTAGCGTATTCGGAGAAAACGACGATCGAGGAGAACACAACTACCTTGGAACCAGCCGGAATAACAACGATCCCTACGGAATCGTTAGTCAATCAGGAAGACGAGGAGGAGGAGGAGGAGGAGGAGGAAGTGCTTGGGGCTGCTACGAAGACAACGGTACATGAGGAGCTGATAACCGCAGCGAGTTACGAGCAACAGTTCAGACCGCGTCCCGAGTATCGGCCGTCGGGTGTCGCCGAGGCATCGGCGAGCACTGGGGGACAGCTTTATCAGGATGTTGCAGCGAAGGATCAGCAGGAGCAGCCGGTGCTGAAGCTTAGAGGAGTGTGAGTATAACAATCCCATAGTTATGTAATAAATTTAATAATAATAGTTCTGTAAGTTGACTAATAATAAATTGAATCATTAAGGGGTCTCATCACCCTTGAGGCCTTAAAATGATAAGTTTGGAATTTTTTTGTGGGTAAACAGATAATTTTATTTAAAAGCTGTTTAGAAGACATTGCTGTAAATATACAGGGCCATTTTAATCGATCCACCCAAATATCTCCTAAAGTAAGCGCTATAGAACAAAATTGTTTAAACAAAAGTTTTCGGACTTCGAGGGGGACATAAAATGATAACATTGGTTTGACCCTGAGTGGCGTCGTCAAGGTCAGGACAAGGCCACTTTGAATTTTTTAAATGGAACCCCCAATTTTTCATTACATGTTCTTATAGCATGCCTCGAGAACTTTCCAAAACACATAAATAAAATATTTTTTTATGAAATAAATCTTGAGTTACGAAGCTTGTAAGTTGGAGTACTGTCGGCATTAGCATCATCCCAGGTGTCCAAACACTAGCTAAAGATGGCCAAGGTCGTTGGCCTTTATCAATGTCATGATCCTGAACAACATTCAAAAGGTTTTAGCTAGTGTTTGGACACCTTGGATGATGCTAATGCCGACAGTACTCCAACTTTCAAGCTTCGTAACTCAAGATTTATTTCATAAAAAAATATTTTATTTATGTGTTTTGGAAAGTTCTCGAGGCGTGCTATAAGAACATGTAATGAAAAATTGGGGTTCCATTTAAAAAATTCAAAGTGATTTATACTGATGAAATTAGATAAAATTTTTTTAAATAATGACTAAAAGTTGCTACAGAAAAACTTATCTGTTGCTGATATTTTCTTATTCACATTAATTGGATAATTATTTAAAATGTTTTCCTCTTACATTATGTATTACCTTATTTAGAATTACATGCATGTTAAAGTTTTTATTATTTCTGAAAAACCATATAAAAAATTTTTTATAAATAACTTTTTCTGTAGAAAAATAAGTACAAGAATATATAGGACAAATTGATAAGATACATAATGTAAAAGATAAGTAAATTAAATAATTATCCAGGTAAATGGATAAAAAAATATCGATATAAATATTTCGATATTTATACATATAAATATCATTCTTGAACTCTGTTTGAAATTGAAACATAAAATTAATATAAGGCTCTAAATATTTGTGTGTAACTTTTGGATGAAAGTTAATATTCTTTGGGGAACTTATAATGTCTCGACTCTTTTAACATGATTATTTACTTATAAAACACGTCATGTTAATAGACTGCACTCTGGCTTGCAAGAACCTTACCGTCCCGGGAGATCAATGCCGTTGCAGGATAACGGATGCGCTTACAAGCGGCCGCCGCACCCGAATTCGCTGTCGTTGAACGCGGTGCACCTTCACCCCTACGTGGATAGCGCGAGCTGGCTGTACCTGGATCCAAATCCCATTTTTCCCGTACGCCTACCGAGTCTGGAGTGCGACGCGTCGTTGATGTCCGAGCAGCAGCACCGTCGCCACCATCACCACTGTCACTACCATCATCATCACCGCCGCCGCAGCTGCCAGAGGAGACATCGTCGAGTACTGAGCGATCCCGGGGGATGGAACGCCGGTATTCGGATGGACACCGCGACGCGACACCGGCGCGTACTCAGCAGCTGCGCCGGCATCGGTCTTATGCCAGCGTCGATAGACGAGGCCAATGAGGACAATCTATCGCCCGAGGAGGAGACGAGAGCGTCGACCTTCAGAAAAGTGCCATGGCACCCTAATTTGCATATGCTCAAAATTAGGAGAACGTAACGCAACGAGAAGGCAAGCGCGAGTGCGCCTTGAACAAACGAGAATCTAAAAGAAGTTTTGCAAAGATTTGAAGAGGTCATCAAATCGAGAAATCTAATCTTCCAAAAGTCTTTTAGAATTTTGTATTATTTGAAGCTGCATCGTTATAAATTTAATAATAAGAGACAAGTGCGTGCATGTGACGGAGCATGTGATGTCAAATTTAGAATCATACAGCTCTCTCATATTGTAAAGTTTTTTTTCTACTAAAAATCTTTTTTTTTTTAATAATTCAAAGTAAACTAATTTTATAATTACGATATTGCAACCTACGATAAGCTACTTTAAGCATTATTGCTAAATTGATAATCTACGCACGATGTAAAATCGATATATTTAATGCGTTATTTTCTTTTTGCATAACTGATTGTGAGATTACTTTTATAAAAATTGCGAAAGGTTTCATCAGAAAAAATCTAGGTTCCCACAGTGGATCGTACTTGTTGCGTCAATAACAACGAGAGCTAATTTATCCCATTTTTCTGTATCTGAGGTAGAACGCTCTTTTACAATGATCGTCTCTGAGAGTGCGATATACCGTTCGGTTTCACGTGCAATATTTCTAGATTTTAAGTTCACGCTATATATAGTGTACAAATGATCGTTATAGACGTTCGTAGACGACGACAACGACGATGATAACAACAACAATAACAATGATAGATTCTGTCGTCTCTATCGCGAGAGCCATCGGAATTGCATCGCATTCGTGAGAACGATGCAATACTTTGTACCTTACTAATAATTAATGCTGAAAATGAATTTGTAATTATTATTCGCGAGCGATTATATTTTTGTACATATTTATTGCAAACATTTTATATACGGATCTGACACAAGATAACACAGAATTCTCGGTAGAACTCCGTTTATTATATCTAGAGTTACGACTACTTATTGGATATATAATCTAAGAAATAAAATTCCTTAATAAGAGTGCATCCCCTCTTCCTAACATTATTTTCATGCATACATTACTTCAAATAGAAGATTGTATCGGTACATAATTAACGTTAGCCACACATAATTTGAAATAATTTTATTGTTATATTTACAGTTATATACTTTATATATATATTTAATTAAAACACATATATATAATATATATAACTAATCATGTAGAAAGCAACTGTTCGATCTATTGTTAAAATTTTATGCAAATTTTACTGTTGATGAAATCAACCAGTATTCACTTTAATCGAATAATATTCAAGATAATTTTCCAAATCTTAAAGGCTACATTCTTAAAATTACTTGTTCGCAAACCGATATTTTCGTACTTAAGATTACTTATTATGTAAAAGAAAAACTATATCTTTGATAATTACTATATTTTGCAAGATTTTTAGTAAATGCTCGATTTATGAAGCTTTCTTCCTCAAAATATGGATCTGATAAATGGAGTTCTGCTGCTGAGCTCTCTCGTTAGGTCGTGTTATTTTGATACCTTGTAAGTACTCAACGTGACAGTTTATATCTATCTCGCGTACGAAGAAATAGCGTTACTATGTGTCCAATGCTTTACTTTATCAACGTATAAGTATATTGTATCTTTTGGACGAAAAAATAGTAAGGCAGTGCCGATTTAGTGCTCTTCCTCCTTAAGTCGTGAACAAT